CAGTGTGTATCACGGGGGAAGGGAGGGAGGAGAATGAATGGTATCACTGCGACAGACTGAAGGGATGGGGGCCGATGCAAAGAGCATGGGAGATGAAAGCGTGACAGAAAAAAAGAAAAAGCGATGAGGACAAGAGATGAACGAATAAGGGTGACGATGATGATGCACAGCGATGGCAAGAGAGTAAGTAAATGAGAAAAGCGATAAAGGCGATCACCTGAACGACGACGACGGCGACAAGAATAACACGGTCAGCATGTCGTTTGGGGCAACGGGCGACTGACGGAAGAGCCAGGTGGCCCGGCAGCACGATCATTATGCGATTTCATATGCGCATTACGACTTTTGACTTTGGTAAAAACACGATGACAAAAACGACACGGATAGTTCCCGGCCTCGGTCAATGATGGATCGGAAGTCAACGAGGACACAAGCTCGTCCACCACTCCATCTAGTCCAATCGTTTCGGCATCCACCGCGGTCGGCGGACACGGGGGAAAATCGAAAGCGCAAGACGTGTCCAGAGAGGAGATCTGAAAATCGATGGAGGCAGGGGGTGCGTGGGTCTGAGTGCAATTATGCAAAGCAATCATTGTCATGATTTGAGGATCCACAGGTCGAATGTGTTTGGACAAATTCACCAGTTGAATTGTACGTACATATGTGAGAACATTTTGAAAAAATGGAGCGACATATAAGGGTAAGCGAATCAGGCACAAATCGCTCAATGAGTAGAGTTCGTACGAAGAATAAACCGTGGAAACAAAACAAAGCAAAAAAAACTGTCCAAACTCCTAATTTGTTGTTACCTAGCTCCTCCCCCCGAAAGCAAGTTGTGCCTCCACTATTCTGTGATGTTAGAAGACCGGATCAAATTTGTAGCCGTAGTTCGAAAGATACAGCTCGGATTTAAGAAAAAAGTTTATGCATCGCGGCATGGAAATTCATTCTTTTTTATTGAATGATTCCTATTTTATTAGAGTGATTATTAGACTGAACACACACGTATTCTAAATTGCTTATCTCTTTTGATTCAGTGTATGGTAAATAAATCGAATAATAAAAACATTCTTGCCTTAATAAATCAATAAATTATTTGGCTAACAACTACTCATGCATTATCCCCAATACTGAAAGAACTGAAAATATAGTCCAAGAAACATAGGAGTTGACCTTGAGGTGTGCTGCTCGTTGAAAAAGCGTCTTGTAGTGTTACCCTGCCCAAACTGTTTGAAAAATCCAAGAGATTTTGGCATATAATTGAAGCCGAAAGGCAACTTAATTGAGAGGCACAAAGATCCGATGATTCCGTTTTTGACCAGTGCAAGTGCTTCGATGTGAACATAAGTTCAATTGGTTGCACAATCAACGGACTTTCTCCATCGAGACAGAAACCAAGAAGGAGAAAACTGATCACATCAAAGCAAGATGATAGTTGAATTGGATCGCATCGGATAAAAGTTGTACACAACCAATATAGAGATTAGTCCGGGTGGATTAGCCGTTTTTTCCTCCGGCTACCGTATGGACAATGATCCCTCAATTTGAAATGCAGCTGAGGTCATCTAGTACGAAGGTATTATGGAACGCCCAACAAAGCAGTGAACGTTTTGATTTTACAAACAAATTCAAACTGCATTACTTGTCCATTTGGCAATGGATTTATCTCACTGGTGGCAAACGAGTGACTCAGAAGGCGGAGAAAGCTGATCTTCTGACCTGGTCTTCCAATGAATTTCGTTTTACCTGTCAAAAGAAGTAAATATCTATGCTGTCTAACGAGTTGGAAGGAAAGTGTGAATACTGAGAGGCTTGTTTTCGGCCTATTGCACATACCGATCTGGATATCGTAAAATTTCTTGCAATGAAAAGGGAGGTTTTTTGATAACTGTCACTCCCAAAATGCATTCGCAGGAGTCATATTCTTCACAGTTGAAGGTTGGTATATCTTCTCAGTTGGGGTTGATAGTAGAAAACAGTTCGACTTCATTAAATATCATTTCCTTACATTTTTGCAGTTTTTGGATGGGTCCAGTCCAATGTCGAATTCATTCAATTGCCACCCAGCAGTTGGGATTTGAATGTAATCGAAAACTTTCCCCGTGTTAGAAACAGGGATAAGTTATGTGCCTCGACATTACTCTTCAGTGGTTAGGTTGCAGCATGTATTAGAGGAAACTGACAAATTATGTTGGACAATCAACTTGGTGGATTCCATGCAAAAAAGACTGTCTCCAGGACTCAAAAATAAAGAAGGGCAAATAAAACATAACGGAGATAAAAGTAAAATATCTGTATGAAGTCTAAGACTCATTTCGAAAACTAAATTCCAGTTACGTTCTCAACTGTGACTTTGTTATTTTACAACTGATGCACCATCAACAATTGTCGAAATTGAGAAATTGTACATTTAATTGGCATGTGGCTAATAGAAGCAAAGATATGTGGGTAACATGTCAGATATGTTGCGTTTGATGTGGGACAATATCATATTCGATCCCGTGAATGAGGCTAGAAAAACTGAGCGTTTTGAGGAACAAGTCTGATGAAAGTTAGGGTGTTGCACGAGTTTGATCAATACCTGAGCCGCAAAGATAGGTATGTGGTGACAGATCATACCCCACGTGGCTGAGATGTGGTCATACGGTATGCGCGATGCACACAGTTTGTCGATGTGCCATAACCCTGTTTCTTTCCAGGAATGCTCAAATAACAGGTGAGATAGTCGGAACAGAATTGGTGAGATTAGATCAGTGGTGGTGGTGGCCAAGTGGTTAGGTCGCCATCTTGTGAACTGAGTGTCTCGGGTTTGAACCGCTTCACCGCCGCCCGTCTTCCCTGCTTCTACACTTTCCAGGCAGTTCTTCAGTTTAGTTCTTACAACCATCAACCATGCACTTTTGTGCTCCGATTTTGGCTGCTGTCTTTTGGTTGCCCATTTGGATGAAAGAGTAGAATGATGATTAGAACGTTGAGAGCAGAGCTGTATGCTACCGAGCGCGTCCTCAGGTCGCGGATAGGGGAACGGCCGTCATCTCACGGCTAACCGTGAATAAGGTGGGCCTCGGCCCTCCAAATAAGCGGTCGCGGACGATTAGCGGCAGCGCTCGAAGATGTGATGGGTTTACCCCTGGCAAGGGTTCTCCGTACAAAACGCCACATATATCTGTGGACAGCGCTGTGACGTGGCGAGTGTGGCCCGCCACTAAATAGGGTCATTGCTCGTTGTCANGATCCATTGCTCAACAAGGCTTTCCAGAAGGGGAGAATGAACCAACTACTGGCCACCGGCTCATCTGGAATATCGTTGCTGCCTTGCAGTCCGCGCTTGGTTGCGCAAACGCTAGAGTGCACCCTCGAACAAGGCCTACTGTGGACCGGGCGACCGAGTAGTACAACAACCCACAGCGCCAACAATGATGAACTCTTCGAATTCTTCGCGCATTCAGTTTACTGTTTCTGCAACTAAAGGCAAACACTCTTCACCGTACACACATCCCAGTCCTCTCAGCCCTCCTCCATCACACATCCGCCCCGTCACCCACCCCTTTTCTCGGGATCCTCAGACGATCGTGCAAACACTAGTGCCTCAGATGGAAACTCTGCCGCTGTTCCCTCATGTCCAACCTCGACCACTGTCCAAGTTTCACCGATTCCTACACCAGCTGAAGCCNGTCCTTTCAAACTAGCCACATTTAATGTGCGCACTCTGATGCGTATAAGACAACAGGCCGGTTTAGCTCGTACGCTCGAGACCCTAGCCATCGATGTGTGTTGTATCCAAGAGACTCGCATTCAAGACTCCAGCACCATTATCCGATTGAAGTCCCCATCAAATCCGTCAGTGAAGTTTCACTTACGCCTCTCTGGGGATCTTGAGGCTGCGGCTTCCGGTCTTGCTGGCGTTGGTGTGGCTCTCAGTGAGAGAGCTGAAGCCGCGCTTCTGGACTGGATTCCAGTCGACAGTAGGTTGTGCGCAGTGAGACTTAGAGGTGCGTGCAAAGTAAACAGCTGTCGCCCCGATAGACGAAACCTGTTTGTCGTGTAGGCGTACGCCCCAACGGGCTGTAGCCCAGATACAGTCAAAGATGGATTTTATCATAGCCTACACGACCTCTTACGTAAAGCGAGTCGGGGGTGATATCGTGATTTTAGCAGGAGACATGAATGC